GTTTTAAACACCAAAATTAGGACCAGCTGGCAAAAGAAATGGCCCTTAAACCAAGAATTTTCTCTTGAATAGTGTTGTCTAGTCTAATAACGAAGGAATAGAGAGCTTCCCAACATTGGACATACTTGAGCAAGAGGCTGAGTGCTGGCTGGTTTGGCTGATGTAAAAGCGGGGGCTACTTATACCAGGGGCTGTAGGGGCTAGACAGAGAAAGCGTGGTCCTCTGCTGTTAAATCTACATGTGAGGCACCAACCACACTTTATCTCCCCTTAGTAGCCCTCGTGATACACACACACACACCCCCCTGCTCAAGTCATTCCTTCACTTAAAATCTTTTAATAACTTCTTTCCATCACTCTTAGGATAGTCAAGAGAAAATGAAGAGGCAAAATCAACAGTAAGGCAACAACAGTGAAGTTAGAAAGAAAGCGGTGGATTGAGGAAGCAATTAGGAACAAATATCAGCAAAACTTGAGGAAACACGGGTTGTGTGCAGGGGAAAGGGGGTTTTGTTTACAGTAACAGGGAGGTCATCAAGTAGGGGGAGGCAGAGTGGTCAAGTCTAGAGGTAGATATTTCCAGAGTGTCTACAGAGCATCATATAGGTGGTAGGACAAGTCCTTTGAACCAACAACTCCACCCACAGGAGGCTGACATTTTCTGTGATTATGCGGAGGGAATATCTGAGGTTCCTCTTTGTCTTTGTCTATTCCAGATTACAGTCTTGCCTTTACTTTTGCAAAACCAAAAGGTTCATTGAAGTGTTTTTTTTCCCCAAACAAAAGATCAATCTGTCCTCAAAGGTAAATTCTGCCTCCACTTCTTCAGAAATGGAAAAGCTGCTGGAAGCTTTAGAATAGCAATTTGTCCTCAGCCTCCAGTCATAAAGGTTTCAGAAGGTTGGGGTTCAGTTTGGTAGTGCCAGTCAAATGTTTTTGTGTGCATATAATTTGACCCTGCAGCTTCACTTTGGGAAATCTATTCTATAGAAATGCTCATACAAATATACAGTGCAGCATTGGTGGTAATATTAAAAATTATGAACAATTTAAATATACATCAGTTGGGATATGACTGAATAAATTATGGTCTATCCATAGTATGAAATACTATGCAGCTATTAAAAAGAATGAGATATATCTCTATGTACTGACATGGCTGGGTTTCCATGACCTATTAGAGGATGAAAAAAGTAGATTTATGTGACTCTGTGTGACTTGTGAGTAAATATATATGTTTATGGAAGTAAGTCTGGAAGGATACGTGCTAGAAATATTAACTGGTTATCTTTGGGTAAGTGGGATGGGGGAAGTGATACAGGAATGTCTAAAGGAAAAAGGTAAAGATTTTTTAAAATCATGTGCTACTTTTATTTAAAAAAAAGTGTAAATTCATCAGCTTTCTGTGCAGGCACATTGGACAGAGACCTCTAGCGCTTTCCTTTCCTTCAGGATTTGCAACTGTATTGGCAAATTTTTTTTTTTTTTTTTTGAGAGTTTTCCAACCCTCTGGCCCTACCTTCCTTTTGATACACGCTGCAGGATACTTACCTTAGCTTTTCCCTGAACTAATAGAACAAACTCAATTTTGTAAGTCAAGACCAGCAGTTTCAAACCTTATTGGACATCAGAATCACCTTGATGCTTGGTAAAAATGCAGATTCCTGGGCCTGCTCGATAGATTTTGAGTCCGTGTGTCTAGGGTTGGATCCAAAATCCTGCTCTTTCAGTGGCACCCCAGGCGGTCAGTGAGAAACTCTGTTTCAGGGAGTGACATCTGATTGTGCCCCCACTCCTCATTTCTCTCTCCATGATTAGCAAAGGGAACCAGGGAGCAGTGACTCACTGTGGATATCTTTGTGGGTCACAAATGGTTGGGTTCATCTGAATGGGAAAAAATGAATAAAACATAGTTTAGTAGACTTGAGAGTTAAGTAGTAAGTGGTGTTTCTTTAAAGTAGCCTATTTGAAGTGGGCCCTTTGGGTTAGAGGCTGGTCTGGTAGGCAGTGACTAGGCAGTGACCAGCCTAGGAGATGCCTTCCAGCGATGGCTTCCTTAGTTATAAGTGGAAGGGGAGGAGGGACGGTGAGGTCTTAGACTTCAGATGCTTTTTATGTGAAGCTTCTGTCCTTGGAAAATGATGCTTCTAGTATTAAGATGAGGTACTATCTATCTTAAGACTATTCTAAATGTTTTTTGTTAGATTTATTATTTTTCTTTGTTATAAACAAAGTCTGTTAATCAGATGCCCACTGTGGGTTATTAACATTACAAAAGGGTGTTTAAAAACCATATACCCTGGCGCCTGGGTGGCTCAGCTGGTTAAGCGACTGCCTTTGGCTCAGGTCACGATCCTGGAGTCTCGGGATCGAGTCCCGCATCGGGCTCCCCGCTCAGCGGGGAGTCTGCTTCTCCCTCTGACCCTCCCCTCTCTCATGCTCTCTCTCTCTCATTCTCTCTCTTAAATAAATAAATAAAATCTTTAAAAAAAAAAAAAAAAAAACCATATACCCCAATTACTCCCAACAGTTAACCTTGGGAATAAAAGGAAATGGTAACAGTTCTTAACTACCTTCCCAAGCCCTCAGTGAGGCTGGCAGCCATCAGTTAAATAAACCATTAGGTTTATTAGTTTGAGAACAGAAGCATCAACTTGGGCACAGTTTTCCAATTTGCTCCTCATTTACCCAACAGTCATTTATTCAGAGGCTACCCTGTGCCTAGTGGACATTGGATAATTCTACAGATAAAAGCCAGAGACTGATGAGCAGTTGGAACTCTAAGGGGATCATCTGAATGGGAGAAAATGAATAAAACACAATTTAATAGTCTTGAAAACTTAGTAGCACATAGAAGACAGAACGTGGATTCCTTAAAGCAACAGCCTTGTTCTCTTTCTGTAGTCTATTTTAAGTGGGCCCTCTGGCCCAGCATTATCAACCTTGGATTAGGAGCTTTGAGGAAATAGTGGTTTGGTGGTTGTTTTTTAAAGGATTTTTTAAGAAACGTAGTTACTAAGCAACTGCCATGACCTGCTGCTAAGTTGGAGTTCAGCGGGCAAGTCAATTCCAAAGAAGGGAATATATAAACAAGTTGCGAGAGGGGGGAAATGGCTTAGGGATAGATTTGGTATATATTTTTTCTGGGTTCAATGCGTATTTCTGCCTTCTACTTTATCTTCCCCAAGAAAGGGCTGCCTGGTCAGAAATCTCTTTGTCTCACCAACTTCTCCTGCTGGCCCGTGAGTGAGGAGGAGGACCAGAAAGGAGCCCACAAGAGGGCCCGGGTGGAGGGCTGAGCCCTGGAGTAGGGCCAGTTCCCTGGGCAGGAGGAAAGGTAGACAGCCCTGCTGCTGCACTCTCTGGCGGTCCAGGGCTTCTGTGACACACCGGTTGCCACCCTCTACATTTCGATCGTGACGCCTCATTGATATTGATGTGTTGCCTTGTAACCCTCAGAACGGGGACACTGTCCAGCTGCTGTCTTTTTCCCCCAACACTTAATGGGTGAGTCAGTGACTTAACCGCTTCCTGCAGGATTTCAGGGACGGGAGTGGGTAATGAGGACAAATCACCATAACACCAGTGCGTGATGAATCAAAGAACACATGAATTTAACCAGTTGGCTTCATTGGTACCAGAGTGAACAAAAATAAACTTTGTTGAGGATATTTGTGTGAGTTAAAACTCCATTCCCTCCCCTTAAGGCTTTTTAGCATTTCCCTTTATACCCAGCTGAAGGTCAGATTGCTTTGCCGAGGGAAGGGGAGTGTCAGGTGTTGGAACAGGTGTTTTGTTTTCTGTGTGTAGAGTCATACAGACTAGATGGGGATGCTTCTTGCCAGCCCTCTATGGTGCATGAAAATGCCTTTGTGGAATTCTTTTTCCCTGGAAATATGTTTGTTTTTTAAAGCAGTTCTACAACCTTCAACCCCTACTATAAATTTTATCTTCCTTTGAAATCTTGTCATAATGAGGTATGCCTATCTTCTCCCATTTCCACAGCCTGTGCTTTACATATATCCCATTTTATGCAGCAGTTACAGACCTTAAAAATTGTTGTGTGTGGGGGGAGAATAAATGTGAATATCATATTTTAAATGTACTAGGAGAATGTCACAGCAAAGCATCCCTATTTTTTAAAAAAAGCCTTTTATAATAATTGTACAGCTAGAATTAATTTTCCTCTATCAGGTTTTCTCAAGTTGGGAGTAAACGTGTAGTTGCCTTTCCAGAGTGATAAGGCTGTTTCAAGGCTATTGTGATGGTGGTAGTGGGGTATAAAGCTGGGCATATGGACTTAACAACCCCACAGACTAGATGATTTTGGAGGAGAAAGGTGACAGCAGACTTCTCGGTTTGGGAGAATTTCTGTTTGTTAGAAGGGAAATAACTCGGGAGAGCTTTGTGATCTTCTCATCTGATTGTGAGGTTTGTTTGTTTTTACCTTTGTGTACTGGGTTCCAATCTCCCCCTCCAAAAAAAGAAAACGTCATCTAGAAACAAATCGTCTTCCTTGCCTAACAATGATATAATGGCCTCAGGTCCTTTCCAGCCCCTCCACCCTGTGTCTCAGGGCCATCTGTTCTCTGCAATCCACTTTTTTGGGAAAGTCTCCTTACCCATCTGCTCTCCTTGGGCCTTAGTGCCTGCTCCAAAGATTTATGAAGGCTGCACTGGAACCTCTTTCCAGTTGTTTTGTTTGTTTGTTTGTTTTTGTTTTTTTTAAGGATCAGTGAGATTTCAAGGCAGATAAAAGCTTTTGCCATTCGGTATGTCCGAATGTTACTCCTTTTTCAGGTGTGTTTCTTCCTTCTCTTGGTCAGTGAGTGGAAAGACGTCTGTCTGTGCTTGGAGGAGGGACTCTGCTTATCACAGCAAAGATTGACTGTGCTGGCGCCGGCTGCTTTGAAGCCCAGTGTCCTCCTGGCTCTTTAGCCACTGGCCCCCAGGCTTGGTGCAGCTCCTTGGGTTCATTCTTTTCCTTGTCTCCCTGACAGAGTACAGTCGCTTTGAATCGAAGATACATGACTTGCGAGAACAAATGATGAACAGCAGCATGAGCTCTGGGTCTGGGTCCCTCCGAACAAGTGAGAAGAGGTCTTTGTATGTCAGGTAAGTCACACTTCTGAGCACCAGGCCTTGTGCTGCGTGAGGAGAGCTCTGTGCCGACACAGCCCTTCCTGTTTAACTAGTGGGATTGGGAGCGTGTGCTCCCAGTACTAAAGCAACATTCTGCACTGTATGCTCAGGCTGTGTACTTTATGGTCAGGGTCTCTCCCTTCTGTGAGCTGGCTTCTTCCTCTTTGCTCATGAATGACTCAGTACGAGAACATTTCAGTTTGCTCTAATTGTAAAAGACTGCTGGGTGATTGTTGCTAGTCAGCATTCAAACAGCACTCAAATGTTCAGAGTACTTTGCTCGCAATCTGTGATTTGAGGGGAAAACTTGGCATCCCCCCCTTCCACATATGCATAGTAGACATCAGCCTTTGTATCTGAGCATATCAGCTATCACTGTGTTCTGGTACAGGGTCTCTTGTAAGAGACCAAAGAACTGACAGGTTGCTGCTTCTGGGTCTTTTTTTAAAAACGGTGTTTTCTTCCTCCCTGCTGCGCCGGTCTGCTGTATCTGAATCATGGAACATGGGATGGGATGGTGTATGGTCCCCAGGAAGGGTGGGTGGAGGGAACGGATATATAGCATTGACTGTCTTGCTGCTGAAAGCTATTCTGAGATACTGAGCAAGGTTAAGCTTTTGACCCTGGAGGCACATTATAATACTTTGGCAGGTCAAAGTACAAACCTCTTGGGGAGTTGGACTGCTGAGTGAACACTATGGCCTCCTTGTAGAAGTAGGGATAGTTTTCTTCTTCCTGCCCTAGCTTCTTGGCAAAACTCCCAACAGTGTGGTGCAAGTACATTGTATCTTTCCAAGGTTAAAATCCTTAGAGTAAGAGGTGGTGAGGTAACTCCCCTGAGCCAGAGATAGCGCTGTGTGTGTGTGTGTGTGTGTGTGTGTGTGTGTGTGTGTTTAATGCTTAGGTGTGGGGCTGTGTTAGACTCTTGGGTTGAACTTTCTCTAGTGGCCTCTGATACCCGCTGCGGGGTTAGGAGAGAAGGCTACATTTGCTAATTGCCTGGCAATGGGACAACTGCTCTGTCTTTGGGGTTTGACTTGAGGATAGCAAGTGGATATAAATGCTAATTGCAGTTCGGTTCCAGTGCTTGATTTCCTTTTCCCTCAGCTGGTAGTCCCTGGCCTGCCTGCAGGGAGCGGAACCCAGGGAGCAGCCCAGCTGTGAGTCTGAAGCCCACTAGAAACCTTCATGATTCTTTTTTTAAAAATGAGCCCTCAACTTGACTCCTTGTTTGTTGAGAGCAGCTTTCTTCACTTTTGCTGTGCTCACCTCCTGCTGTGAAGGGAGGAGAGCTAGGGGAAGGCTGGACTAGTCACTGGTGATCTTTTCAGTCTCCTGTTTTCCGTCACTAAGCCCTTGCTCTGGGTCTGTAGCCTAGACCCCGGCACACTGATGGGGGAAGCAGAAATGTGCTGTTGCCCCCGGCAAAAGGGTAATACTTATGTGACTTGGTCAGGATTGTTCCGTTCCCGTGCTGCCAGCCCCCGCAGATGTGGCACTCCAGTGTGCGTGGGAAGCTGCTCTTTAGGCAAGACAGTTTCTTCGGAGAGCTTTATTTTTGGATTTCCTCTCTCCACCTATCCTGTGCTAGAGCTCTCCATGCCTGGGTAGGGGAAGTGGGGCATTAGCTCCTGACCTAGAAGACCCAAAAGACCTGGAACACCCTCTTCTCTGGCCCTGGGGAAACGGATACATTGTGTCTGACTCTGGGGAGGGGGTGGACACTGCACTCGGTTTCTAGTGAATCAGTTTATATGGTTTATATAATCTGCCCTTAACCTCATCTAGATAACATCGGTGCCCTCTGCTTTATAATAATGAACATTTGTGATCACTAGACTTAGACTTAGTCAAGGAAAGTGTTTTATGGGGCTAAAGCAGTGAGCTGAGGTCTTCGCTAAGCTAACCCCTCTACCAGAGCCTGGCTTGCTCTGTTCCCTTTTGTGCCTGTTTGGCATTCTTTCATTCTGCACTTGTTCCTTTTCATTAGCATGTGAACAAATTCAAGTTTCTTCCATTCTTAAAAAGAAGAGAAGAAAAATTCCCTTGATACCAATAGTCCCTTAAACTGTTGTCTCTCTTCTCTTTGCCACATGTGCCAAATTATGTGCCAGGAAACACTGGTTCCCCGAGATGTTAATAAGTATTGTGTGCAAAATCAATGGTTCAGTAAGTTGGGCAAATGCAGTATTAAACACAGGAAAGTTCTTTACTGTGGTTCATATCCAGGAAGGACTGTACTAGGCAGAGTTGCACCAGAAGATAGGAGCCTGGGAGCCTTATTTGGAGAAGCCCCTCTTAAATCCAGGTTAGGAAATGTTGGAGTCATCTGTACTTGCTCCTGCTATGTCTTCAAATCACCTCTCTTTCAGTAGGAAAGGAAGTGTGCATCTGCTTTTCAGCATGGTGGTGTGGTTCCAAGCAACTCCGGAAGGCTCCGGGGAGGAGCAGAAGCCCAGCTCTGTCAGGGATCCACGGTGACCTCTTAGTCATCAAATCCAGTGACTGGTTCACTGATTCTCTGCCATTGGTCTGACCTCTTCACCACATTTGTTCCCACGAATTCCCTGCTTGCTTCTTTAAAGGCTCTCTTCCTACCTTGCTAACCATTCCTTGATATCTTTCATTAGCTCTGCCCCCTAAATGGCAATGTCATTTATTTTCACAGATTCTGATCCTGTTGTTGTATAAATGACATCCCTGATGTCTTTAGTGAACCCCAGACCTGCATATCAACTACTTGCTGGACGTGTGCATGAAGCTGCGCTCCCAGTGCCTCAAACAAGCAGTGTGTTCAAAACTGAACCCCCCCCACACACACACCTGCTGCTCCTCAATTTCCTTATCTGAGTTAATTGCATCGCCCTATCATGTGGAAAAGGGATTAGATTTGTTCTGTCACCCAAGGCAGATCTCAGCTCCACAGAAGGAAGAAAGAGCTGATGATTAAGACTGTCTGAAAATGGAATGGACTGCTTCCAGAGATAGTAAATTTTGATCTTTTGTTACTGGAGGTGTTTCAGAAGAGGCTGGGCACCTATTTGCCTGGTTGTTGCAAGAGGGGCTTGAAGCTAAAGCAACAATCTGGACATAATCTAATCAGAAGTTTTCAGAAGTTCTGAGATGTCTTCAGGATAAAGGGAAGCAAACTGTCAGGGAACATCTATGCATTAGGGCCTTTGTGATCCTCTTTAAATTGTGATTAAAATCCTTTAAATGATGCTGCAAAGTAGACCTTATTCTCATTTTACAGATGAGAAAACAGACTCCAGTTAGACAGCCAAGAAGTTTCAAAACTGGAATTTCAACCCGGTTGTTCTGACCATGGAGCCTGGTTCTTTCAACATTTCCCAAACTTGCTGATAGGAATCAGCCGGCATGCTAGGAAAAATACAGATCTCCAGGCTCCTCTTTTACTGCTTTGGATTCACTGGGTTTGGGGAAATGTTTGTTTGTTTTTTTTTAACAAGCAATCAGAACGCTCAGGAATAACCAGTTGTTTGTCACAGTGGCTATTTGTTTCTGTTTCACTTGAACAACCGAACATGATGCTTACAGTAGCTCCTACTGTGCGGAAAGCAGGGAAGCACAGGGCTGAGAATCGGGGCATGGTTGTGGAGGTGGATTCAAGGAAGCAGCGGATGCCGGGCTTGCCCTCCAGTAGCTTGCCCTCTACACAGAAGACACTGGGCAGCAGGTGGTTCAGGCGAAGGAGCCCTTTTCAGTTGGGGTTTCACCTCTGATTCTTTTCGCTCTTGTTTCCCCTCTGATGTGTTTTTTCTCCCTTGCCTTCTCCTGAGTGTCTGTTATTCTCTGGTGTGCATGGGTTGCCAAGCAAATAACACTCTCTTGCAGCGCCACCGAGCCTATAGCAGGTGAAGCCCTAGGTAGCTGCGGCTGTACGAATGAGAGGGGGGTGGTGGGATTTGTGGGAAGAAGGGAAGATTACAGTGTTTGGAAAATGTGACTTGGTTTTAAGATCACTAGTGACTTAATGGAAAGGCCTTCCCCAGCCTTCACCATACTAGCCTCATCTCTTCAGTGGTGTAGGTAGGATGAGCGGAGCCTGTCTTTCTGCCCACTCTAGGGCTTTGTCCGCTAGTGAACTTGCCTTCCACGCTGGAAAAGTCCACAGAAGTATGTCTCTCTTGAGCCTCTTGCTCAGGATCAGGGTGGTTGGGGTGTTTAATTCAGGTCATTCTGATGTGAAGGGAGTACGAAAAGACACAGGGTAGGTGAGAGTTCCAGGGACCCTCCAAGTTCTAAACTTGGATGTTCTTTTGTCTATTTCTTGAATGAATGAATGAATGAACGAAAGACCTTGTCCTCCAAAAGACCTGACTTGCTGTCAGCTGCACTTGTGCGTCTTGTGATGACCCATCTTGAATCGACCTGAGTACTCAAGTTTGGGCTTTTAGGTTGCTTTTCGGAAGCTGCTAGCAATTTTAGCTCTCACAGTAAGGTCAAGAGCTGATGAATGACTATTGCCTTATGGCTCTCAGTGCATGCTTCACATGGACCAGGCAAGAGAGGGGCTGCTCAATTTTCAAATAATGCGTGCCTTTTATCTGGTACTTTCTGAAGCTCAGACTGCTATAACAAAGTATCATAGACTGGGTGGCTTAAACAATAGACATTTATTTCTCACAGTTCTGGACACTTGGAAGTCCAAGATCTAGGTGCCAGCAGATTCAGGTTCTGGTGAGCAACACCCCCCAACTTTCCTGGCTTGTAGATAGCCACCTTCTTGCTGTGTCCTCACCTGGCCTTTCCTGGGTGCGTGCAAGGAGAGAGAGAGAGCGGTATCTCCTTGTCTCTTCCTCTTCTCATAGGGGAACTATCTCCCTCATGACCTTATGTGAACCGAATTACCTCCCTCAGGCTCCATCTCCAAATACCATCACCTGGAAGGTTAGGGCCTCAATGTATGAATTTTGGTGGAACACAAACATTCAACCCATAACACTGACCAA